ATTTAAAGCAAGCCCTAATGCTCTAAATAAACCAAATTGACCCAAACTAATTAGTCAAATGGGCCAGTTTTGGCCCAACATAATAATCCATCCATTTTGTTCAAATAAATGAGTCCAGCAATATAAGTTCAAAACATTTGTATTAATAAGCCCGGGTCTGGCTGAATTGGGCCAGACCCGGCCCAAGGCCATATTCCCTGTTATGGATTAAACCTAGTCTCCTCAACCCTAGCTGCCTTCAACATAATTCAAAAGTCAAAACGCAGCAGCTTAATAAAACCGAGAAAACATGCAAGAAAGGGAGAGACGTCGAAAGGGAGTCCGGCCGGAGCCAGCACGTCCGCTCGCCACCGTCTCGGTCTCCACCCTCTCTCACCATCGCCGGCGCCAAACCGGAGAAAACAACCGCAGCTCCACCGTCTGCCGGAATGAGAGCCGGGAAGCCTAGCCTCATGGGCGAGAAATCAGCTCAACAATGAAGTTTGTTGATTTCAGTTGAATCCATTAGGTATAAAATTATTTATATATGTTTCGAAAAGATCGAAACAATTCTCTCAGATTTGTACAAAATCTGCTATTTATTCCGCAATTCACGTTGAAATCTCAGGCTGTGATTTACTTTTGAATTATATAAATTTTTGAGAATAAGGATAAATATTTCAGAAATTTGTATTACAATCTGAAAAAAAACAGTTTTCGAAACAAAAATAATTGTTCGAAGGAGGTATATATAATATGGCATATCGAATATACACCTCTTTTTTTCGAAAAACACAAGATTTCTTGTTCTTCATTAATGGCATATGCGAGTGGATAAAACAGTTTTCACTCAGCCAAACTTACTACAATCTTGAATTTGTAGTATGTATAAGATGAAAACAAAGATATGCATATTCAACTAGGTAGATATCATAGCATATACAAACATTCATACTGTACTAATACAAATCGCATGTATATTTTAAAGGATATACTTCAAATCAACAAGATTGTAGAGTGTAAGTATGCAATTTGAACAATTATTAGGAATGATAAGAAAAATTAGCATACCGTTCACCGGAGAAGTATGTTAGTTGCAAAGTGCCGATAACGTGTTGTAAGCCATTAGCTCATTGCTCAAAGAATAACTCATTGATCAAAGGTAGTAGAAAGAAAAGTAATAGAGAAGGAGAAGGGAGTGATATAATTTCATTTCCATGGCTTCATCTTACAAAAGGATTACACACATATATAATATAGAGTAATAATGGCATACATAATGAGACATTAATATGTCTGTTACAAACGTTACAAAATAATGGTCACCATTAATATATAATTACAACAGATATGTATATTTTAGGCTATTTTTGTTGTAAATGAAGTTCATTTTTTGTGGAGCGCAGCATAATTGGGTTTATTTAGCAGTTTAGCACGTCACTTCCCCTTTACTTAAATTTTTTTATATTCAATAAATCATGTCTATGCATAAAGTTCACAATTTCTGTGAAGGCAAATTATGCCCTGGACCCGTGTCCACATTGAATTGTGGACACGGGCCCAAAACGACGTCGTTTTTAAAAAAAAACGCGTCATTTAGTTATAAAAAAAAAAAAAATCGTGCGTGTTTTGCCGTTAACGGCGTTATTTTTTTTTTGGATTATGAATGTACAGTTATGCCGTTATGAATGTACAGTTATGCCGTTATGAATGTACAGTTATGCCGTTATGAATATACAGTTATGCAATTATAAAATTATATTATGAACACAGAGCTCTAACATTATGAACTTACAATTATGAACATATATAGTGATAAAATTATGACCATGGAGCTTTAAAATTGTGAATATAGAGCTTCGAAGATTATGAATGTACAGTTATGGAGTTATGAATGTACAGTTATAGAGTTATGAATCTACAGTTATGGAGTTATGAATCTACAGTTATGAGATTATGAATCTACAGTATGGAATTATGAATGTACAGTTATTGATCGAATTATGAACAAAGAGCTCTAACATTATGAACTTACAATTATGAACATATAGTGATAAAATTATGAACATAGAGCTCTAAAATTGTGAACATAGAGATTCGAAAATTATGAATGTACAATTATGGAGTTATGAATATACAGTTATGGAGTTATGAATATACAGTTATAGAGTTATGAACGTACAGTTATGAAGTTATGAATGTATAGTTATTAACATATAGGAATAAAATTATGAACATATACTCTTACAATGAAGCGGTCTGAAATTAAAAAAAAAAAAAAAAAAAAAAAAAGGGAAGGAAATAACAGTGCCTAACGGCACTGTTACACAGGTCCAACGCATAACGATTGTTCTGTGAATGTGTAGACTATGATCCACAATAAAATTTACCATCAACCCAAGATTGGCCCTTAATCTGCATGTTTTGCCTTGGGTCTGCACTAGGCCAGCCTCTTGGGCTTAAAAACTTAGGTAAGGTCTAATATATTCACCATCTAATTAAGCTTAATAGTTTAAAACAATTGATCGATGAGCAAATTAAATGCCCAATACAAACTACAAGCCAAGAATAATGTAATGGGCAAATTATTTTGTGCACCATAACAAAAAGTACATTTTTAATTAATATACTAAATGTACATTATACAATATAATATTCACTTAGAACAATAATAATGTATATCTCCTGAATATAATGTATATTATTTTTGTACTGAATGTACATTATTTTTGTATTAAATGTACATTATGTACTATACATTATTTTACAATAGACAAAATATGACCCACACAACTTGCGTGAACTATTGTCCATACAATAATGATTGAATCTAGTGTATCCTCCCAAATGCTCTGTTAGGTCGGGGTTGTGGGGGGCCCTTAGGGTTGGGGTTCAGCCTTTTGGAAGAATGATTGAATTAGTGTGATCAAAACTAAATATAAATTAGTCTCATACATTTGATGTGGTATATATACAACAACAACAACAACAACAAAAAAAAAAAAAAAAAAAAAAAAAAAAAAGTATTCCTGAAAAAGAAAGGTACGGAGTTGGGGAAGCCGCAGTCATTACGGCATTTTCAATTAAGAGAGAGAAAAACGGTTTGAAGATTTAATTATCTGTCGCTCTCTAGCAATTAAACAGAGACAATCGAGTCTGTAATTAATTAAGTAGAAGAGAAAATTTCAATTTTGGTCATGTGACTATTGGGGTATTGTTAATTTTAGTCCACGACTTTCAAAACTGTTAATTTAGTACCTTGACTATTCAATTTTTATCAATTTTGGTCACTCCGGCCAAATTGCCGGCCAAATCTCGCCGAAATCTTTTAATTCAGTTTAATTTGTTTAATGATGGGAGTAATATTGTCATTTCATGTTTAAACGAAAAGGGGAAAGTGATTGTCGTCGGCTCCGTCAAATCGATCGAATTCAAGATGAGAACGCACACGATTGAATAGGTAGCAATACGATTAGAATTAGAATTTATTTCCGATAGCAAGACAGCCCGTGGAAATTCAGCAGCGTGGGTTATTGATATTGATATTTGCCGCCTGAAAATTCAGTAGCACGGTGGCGGAGCTGTCCGCCGGTGACAACCCAATTCCGGCCAGGAAGAGGCTCCGCACAGAAAATGGACAAAGCTCCATCTCCATCGTAATCGTCACCTACTAGCCTCACGCCTATACTTCTTAGATCTGGAGATTTGGTTCTTGATAATGATCTTCCCCTGAATGCCTGATAAAGCTAAATTACTGTACTATACATGTATTGATTTTTAGTTTGAAACGATTTGAGCTTTTTCTTCTTTTTCTCTCCATCGTCATCATCAGATGGGTCGTTTCAGCTCATTAGCGTTGGTGTTTCTTGATTTTCCAGCGATGAGGTCCTGCGGCGGCGACGGCGACGCTCTTTTAGCGTTGAAATCTAGGATTGGTCCGTCGGGGCGCGCTGGTTGGTTGGTCGGAGAAGAATGTCGGGAGTGTCTGCCGGTGGGAAGGTGTGAATGATCGTATAAATGAGAAGGTTACTACGCTGGTGGTTGAGCGGCTCCGGCGTAGAAGGATCTTGTTTCTTCGTCGTCTTCCATGGCTACCGGGGCAAAGGAGAAGAAAAGATGAGCAAATGACTAAATTACCCCTCACAATAAACATTAATTGGTTAATTAAAAGATTTCAGCGAGATTTGGCCGGCAAATTGATCGGAGTGACCAAAATTGATAAAAATTGAATAGTTAAGGTACTAAATTAACAGTTTTGAAAGTCGTTGATTAAAATTAACAATACCCTAATAGTCACATGCCCAAAATTGAAATTTTCTCTTAAGTAGAATGTGAATGTCAGATATTGAAACAACCTAGTTTGATAGGTTTGTGGTTCTAGGCCGACCCAGGCCTAATTCATATTAGACCTTCATCCCCAACTTTCTTAATATAGTGATAATATTTCATTCCAATCCATTACAAAAGTAGGAAATAATATTCATAGAATATAATAGAAGATTAGAAGGTACCACGTTATACGTACTGTTGATGAAAGTTAGTATCTTTTGGGCTTCATATTGCTGTTTTGATATCATTATATCATGGACTATATGATCCACCTTAGTAAAGTGAATCACTGATATGCAAATATGTAATACATTTTTTATAAGGTTGGAGTATGGAGTGCGAACTGTTTAGAGTGGGATGCAACAAACATTGACTTCTCGCAGGGTGGACAATAATTAAATTACACATCAGTTTTTCAAAAGATTGTGGAGCTTGTGATATTTAATTTGATGTCAAACTTCTACTCATGAACTAGCTTTAATGGAACTGATGATGGTCGAATTGAATCATATGGATCCATTATATTCCTCCCATCTTTATTTTAGATTTTGTTAATTCAATGAAGCTTTGTTTTAATTTGCTTTTAAAAAATGAAAATGAAAGCTAATCTTGTTCCAACTAATTAATGTTTCTTGAAGCAAACCATATAGTGTTTGCGGGCATAAAATCGTAGAATGATAGATATGAAGATGTATATATATAAGTGGCTCGCCGTTTATTCCAATATTATTACGTGCGTACGGTACGGACTACAGAGGGGCATAGAAAGTAAAATAAGGAAAATATTATATGTAGTAGAGAGGGATACTTATATAAAGCAAAGGGATCGGAGAAGATGATAATATATAGTGAGTATTTGAGACGATATAGGGCGGCCGGCAAGCCATGGAGCTTAGCTCAAATGCGGTACGGTCCTCCATCGTTTATGGTAGCCGCGGGAACAGCGGGATTGTCACCGGAGGCACCAGTGATGGCAGCGGCGGAAGACGCACTGGAGGCAGTACTGGAAGACGCAGTGGAGGAAGAGGAAGAGGAAGAGGAAGAGGAAGAGTCACTGGAGGCACTAATGGAAGACGCACTGGAGGCACTGATGGCAGCGGCGGAAGACTCGCTGGAGGAAGAGTCACTGAAGGCACTGATGGCAGCGGCGGGATGTTCACCGGAGGCAGTGATGGCAGCGGCGGGATGTTCACCGGAGGCAGTGATGGCAGCGGCGGAATGCTCACCGGAGTCACTGATGGCAGCGGCGGGATGTTCACCGGAGGCAGTACTGATGGCAGCGGCGGGATGTTCACCGGAGGCAGTACTGATGGCAGCGGCGGAAGAATCACTACTGGGGGAGGCGGGGGTGGCGGAGGTGGCGGAGGAGGGGGTGGGTTCCGAGGGTTGAGGTTTAAGAGACTACGAGCTTCTGCCACCACGATGCTGCCGGCGACAGACGCCATTAGGATCAGCAGAATTGGCAGTAAACGCGGGAATGGCACACTTTTTTGGTGCGCCATGTTTGGAATGAGTTGTAGTGGTGACTGGTGAATGAATGCATGCATGGGTTTTTATAGATGTTGACGTTAGCTGAGGAAGCCATGAGAAATTAATTTTCTTTAAATTTAAGAAAAAAGTGTAAAATAGTTCACTAAAATTATACTCCTAGTTTTTATGTAATTAGATTATATATATATTAAACTTAAAAAATATGCAATTAAATCAGCAAGTAAAATGTTAAGCACCTTGTGCACATATGGTACCCGAGTTGGACTCCTATATGGGAGGTTGTAAGTTGTCTCAATGGAAGCGTTATTGCCAAGTAAAATATGTTCAATTGTGATAATTTTTTTTCCCAGTAAAATTCGATCAAATTAATTGCATGGATGGATAGGATAACATGGTATATACTAAGATTTGTTTTTTCCTAAATCATATTAGTTGAGATGAAAGATCGAAATATTTTTAATTTAAATTACATTAAAAGAAATCATATAAATGTCTCAATTACACATATTCTGCTTGTTTGATGGTAAAATTGCGCACTTTTTAAATTCAATAACTCAATTGCACAAAAAAAAATAAGCTCAGTGACATATTTGATACTTGTTCCGAAAATTAATTAAAATGAGAAATAATCCACACTAGGTGTGCAATGAGTGAAGTTGCTTGCGAGAGACAATCGATGACTCATTGCGAATCCGACGGTCAACGGCGAATCTAGCAAAAGACAATATAATGTAGCCAAGCCTCAAGGCTGACGACGACGAAGGCTTGAAATCTGCGTACAGATTGACGAGCCAATCTAGTTTATCTCAAACAAGCTAGAGCTCAAACATTAGTGTCAATCGAGCTGAGTTCGAATTTCAATTTTAAGGTTTGATTGAGTTTGTGTTCAACTCGGCTCGTTTATAGGCCTAACTCATACCTATATAGCTAATTCAAGTTATATTGTGTATCAGTTTATCATACACATTATAAATTATGATACAAATTATGTATATGCAGTTAATATATTATGTACATAATTTAACATTATTGTTCAAAATTCATGATATGTGAATATAAGGAAATAAAATGAATTACATAATATGTTAACAACAAATATAATTTCCGGGCTAAGGTCTATAATGTACATGATGAATTCGATTCACGATATAACGAAACTATTAGTGGGTTTCTCCTAATTAATTCAAAGGAAGAAATTTTGCACGATTTTTTTTTTTTTTAACGCAAAAACGAAGATTCCATTACTAATCAGAATAAGTGCGTAATACAATCAGGTGGAACACCAGTCCACACTACTGAGACAGACTTAGAAACGGTCGCCTGAGCAAGCTCATGAGCCACACGATTCGCTGACCTCCTAATATGGGATACAGTAACATTCCCAATATCGCTAGCAATCGACTTACATTGCTTCACAAACAACCCAGCATAAGAAAAATCAGAAAACTCGAATTGAAAGCAGTACAAAAATTTAAACAGTCTGATTCTAAATTAACATTGCTGTAACCTTGCGTCTTAATCCAAACCAAAGCCTCCTTGACTCCCAGATAAACGGATCCTCCTCACCTACTAATTGTCCACATTTAGCTGCAACAAATGCACCCTCATGGTCACGCATCACAGCGCCAAAGCCAGCACCATTACTCAAAACAGAAGCGTCCACGTTACATTTGAGTACATTGTTCAAAATTCATGATATGTGAATATAAGGAAATAAAATGAGTTACATAATATGTTAACAACAAATATAATATCCGGGCTAAGGTCTATAATGTACATGATGAATTCGATTCACGATATAACGAAACTGTTAGTGGGTTTCTCCTAATTAATTCAAAGGAAGAAATTTTGCACCATTAGTAATTGAGTTTGTTCTGCATGGACCGACATATATGGTTAAATCGACATATAATTAAATCCTATGTTTATAGTAAAATTAATATATATAAATGCATCACATATGTTAAGTGGGAATATTATTGACTTTTTGTACCACGAATTAATACTAATAAATTTATCACTTGATAATGAAAGTTGTTTCACCGCCCCACCCCCCAAAAAAAAAAAATCAATACTTAAAATGATCATTTGACCATGTTATAATTCCTAATTTGGTCATCAAATATTAATTCATTAAAAAAATATTAATAGAAATTTTTGTATTTGTTCTAAAAGGGTAGTTGAATGGGTAGAGCATGAATGCATGACTCCATATATACCTAATGATTACAAGTTCAATTTTTGCCAACATCCTCTCAGTCGCCCATCTAATTAACAAGATCTTCCTAGTGCGGTTCATCTCTTTCGTGTGATTCATTGACTATTATACATGAGAATGGTTTTTCTAATGCACACTGATGGTAAATATGTCATCGGATAATATTTGGAAAGTAATCATAGTTAGTATTGCTTAGAGTGTTGATTACAAGAATTAGTGCATGCCCTTGGCAACCCAATGGGGTAGCTCAATTGACAAATGAACTCTCTTTGTGATAGAGAATTCCGAGATAGCCTCGGACAGAGAAAAACCCGGACCACCTCGATTTTTACACCACAAAAAAAAATCATGGTTTCCTACTTATACTAGTGTAGAGCCAAGCCTACATTGAGTGTGGTCTTCATCATAATTGCTCCCTCTTGAATAGGTCGGTAAATTCAAAAAAAAAAAAAAAAGATTTACTCAATTTTATCATCTGATGTACTAAAATGAGTAAATTCCTTTTATAGTTAAAGAATATTTTAGATGAATTGATAGTCGATGACTAAAGTAAAAATTATATATACTCAAGAGGTCAGGGGATTTTTTTTTTTAAAAGAAAAATAACTTCATTAAAATCAAGCAATAAGATGTTCAATACAAGCTGGAATAGTAGAAAAATAAGAAAGATGACCAGGTTGAGAACAAGCAACTCCGGCTAACAATGAGCAAGCTTATTCACTGATCGATTCTCATACTGAATGGACACTGATTCAAAGTGTCGTTTTAAGACCCGACACTAATTGAAGATACAACCTGCATAAGAATAGTCTGGTAAATCATTATTGAGGAATCTGCAAATCATTTGACAGTCCGATCTCAACACAATATTAGAACAACCTTGTTCGAGAATCCAAGAGAGCTTCCTTCATGGCTATAGCCTCCACTAGATGAGGATCTTTAGAGGGCATTTTTTTATATATATTATCTCAAAAAAAAAAAAAAAAAAAAAAAAAAAAAAAAAAAAAAACAACAACAACAACAACACCGTCAAATGGGTTGAAGAAAGAATGAAACCAAGTTAGGCAGCCGGCAGCCATTATGGAATTTTAATTTCATTAAAGAGAGAAAGAAAAATGGCATGAATAATTAAGTTTGGGTCCTTTCAAAAAAAATTTAATTTTGGGCAAATTATACATGGATCAAGGCCTAGCTTACATTGTGAATTTTAATCCAAAATAATTTTCAGATTATGTGTTTGCATTTGACATATTTTTTATATATCATTACAGTTTATGCGTTTGTAAATAAATTGAAACGCTACATAACACTTTACCTACAAACACATAATATGTTAACTGCAGACACATAATATGTTAACTAATAAAAATATTATGTGTTTGCATTTAACATATTATGTATGTAATTATCATATTATGTGTTTGTAATTAATATGTTATGTACAATTAATTTATTTATAAACACATAATTGTTAACTGCAAATATATAATAGGACAACAGCAGATACATAAATTTTGGACGAATGTCTAGAATTAAAACAATTGCTTAATTTTGTGTCATTCTTTGTCAACTGCGACAAGTTGTGTAACTAACTTTTTTGGAATCACAAGTTGTGTAATTAATTAAGTTGAATTCACATATTCAACAATAGTTATGTCATGGACTGAATCCACCTTACAATGTGAATTATTATCCAATTAGAGTTCTATAATTATGAACAGAGTTCTGTAATTGTGAATATAGATTTCAATAATTGTGAATATGAAGTTCAAAAATTATGAACATAAAGTTCTTGGTAGGGAATATCCCGACCGACATAGCTTCACCACGACCGAGGAGCCTTTGTCTCTTTCTCCTTGTCTTTGCAGGTAACAGGTCGGGCTCCACGAGAAGAACCCGGTCGTAGACCGACCAGAGTTGCCCGAGCAACGGTGTCGACCACCGAGCGGTAGCCCTTTGGCGAAAGAGCTGACGAAGGACACGTGGCGGCTCTTTACATCGACAGGCAGGGCACCCGGGAGGATGACACGTGGTGGCTACGTGGAGGACATGCCGAACGGCTGGAATCCTGTCCCCGGCATAGCGGCTATAAATACCCACAGTAGCTACAGTGTAAGGGACTTTTGGGACGATCGATAGGTTGTTATTAGAGAATCCCGACCGCACTCAGTCGGTACTCAGAGCAACCAAGTAGATTGTACTTAGGGCCTTTACCGTGATCAATAAAGATTTTACTTGCTTTAATTGGTCTCGTGTTATTCTATATTGCTTACCCATAATTAGCAGTATCATTTTGGCGCCGTCTGTGGGGACCCGTGCAAGAAACCAACGTCATGACGAGCACCCGATCACCATATCGACATGTATCCGTGGGCACACAACAACTTCGCCGACGACCAGGCGGATGCGGCGAGCTCCTCCGACCACTATGCTACCCAACAGCAGGGTCAGACAATGGACCTCAACCTCAATCTCTCACCACCACATCCGTCGAATACATACCCGGCCGCCAGCAGCCGGTGAATTACATACAACCGGGATACCCACCACCCGGTCTGCCATACCAGCAGCAGCCGATGATGTATCCCGTCCAGTAT